TCTTTTTCTCAGCTTTTTATTCTCCATCATTTGGTCTTCTATATCACAAATTCTCTCTTCTGCCTCATTTATCCTAGCAGTTAGAGCCTCCATTATGCTTGCACCTCATTAATAGCCTTCTTGATTTTGACTTGGTTAGATTTTAGTTCTTTCATTTCTCCAGAAAGGGATTCTCTAGTATCTTCTATACTTTTTTCAAGCCCTAGTATCTTTATAACCGTCATTCTGAACTCTAGTTCTGACATCTTATTAATGTCTGTATCAATTAGGTCCCTGGCAGTCAGTACTGCCTCTTGTTTCTTTTGAGGTGAGTTTTTCTGTCTTGTCATTTTGTCCCGAGGAGAACAGATGAATGAGAGAACAAAATGCTAAAAAAAATGCTAAAAGGGTAACACCACCCCCAGAAAAATATACACTAAAGAAATCAGAAAAGACCCAAAACTTGGGGGGAGGGGGAGAATATGATCAGGCTGGTGAGTAGAACAGAGCTGCACACTAGATTTTGGGTGTATTTTGGTTTGTTAGAAGAAATTGCCTCCAAAAATTTTAAAGAAAGGAAAACATATATATAAAAATAAGGGTAAATATGATAAAGGGATGAAATATGACTGTAAAATGACAATTAAAAAAGATTTTTAGGGACGCCTGGGTGGCTCAGATGGTTAAGCATCTGCCTTTGGCTCAGGTCACAATCCCAGGGTCCTGGGATCAAGTCCCGCATCGGGATCCCTGCTCCTTGGGAGCCTGCTTCTCCCTCTGCCTCTCTCTCTCTCTCTCTGTCTCTCATGAATAAATAAATAAAATCTTAAAAAAAAAAAAAAAAGGAAGGAAAAAAATTTAAAAAAAAAAGAGAATGTGATCAGGTGGAAGACTAGGACAATGTCATACACTAGATTTAGGGTATATTGTGGTCTGTTAGAAGAAACTGTATCCCAAAATTTTAAAGAAAAAGAAACTTTTATATATACAAAAAATAAGGTTAAATACAATGAAGAGATAGAATATGTCTGTAAAAATGAAAAATTTATAAAGATTTTTTTAAAAAAGGAATTGACAAAATGTTGGTTGAAAAAGAAGAAAAATTCAACTAAAAAGTAGAAAAAAAAATAAAGAAAATTTAAAATATTAACTCTGAAAGGCTAAAGCATTATGGGAAAAAAGCCATAAATTCTTTGTGCTGTATTCCCCTAGCGTTGGGGTTTTGCCGTTCTCATTGATCGGTAAATTTGGTCTTGGCTGGATGTTCTTGCTGATCTTCTGGGGGAGGGGCCTGTTGCAGTGATTCTCAAATGTCTTTGCCAGAGGCAGAATTGCCCCGCCCTTGCCAGGGGCCAGGCTAAGCAATCTGCTCAGGTTTGCTCTCGGGAGCTTTAGTTCCCTGCAAGATTTCTGTACAGCTTTGGAGGATGAGAGTGAAAATGGTGGCCTCCCAATCTCTGGTCCCAGAGGAGCCGAGAACTCAGGGCCTAACTCCTCAGTGTGCCCTCAATGAAAAGCAGTCAATCACTCCTGTCTTCCTGGTCTCCGGCCGCACTCCGTACTCACCTGGCCTGTGACCAAGCATTTCTATCTCTGGCACACGACCCCATTTGGAGTCTCCAAACCCAGCAGATCCCTGTGGTGCGCTCCTGTGCTGCTCCTCCATGGGGAGGAGGACGGAGTCTCCCCAGATCTGCTGCTTGTTGGGTCCCTGCTCAAAAAGCAGTGGCCCGACTGTGCCGCAGATCATGGTTTATGGCCACCCCGAGCTGCGAGCCCACTCCTCGGCTCTCTTTGCAACCAGCTTCTCTGCTCTGATACCTGGGAGCTCTGCCACACTCAGGCACCCCCAGTCTTTCTGTGACTCCAGGGGTCCTGAGACCACACTGTCCCAGCGAGGGTTCCACCCCCCACTTAGCCACTGGAGTGACGTCCCTCACCGAAGCAAACTTCTAAAAGTTCCGATTTTGTGCTCCGGTGCTCTGTCACTTGCCGGTACCGGTGATAGAGGCTCCATCCCCCGCAGTCTATCTTCCCGAATATCGCCTCAGATTCACTTCCCTGCACGTCCTACCTTCCAAAAAGTGGTTGCTTTTCTGTTCAGAGAGGTGCTGGTATTCTTTTCTTCAATCTCCTGTTCAGTTTGTAAGTGTTCTGAATGGTCTGATCCCTATCTAGCTGAATTCCTGGGGTCAGAAGAAATTTAGGTCTCCTATGCCTCCAACATCTTGCTCCTCCCTCCCTCAGTCAAGTTTCTCTGGCAAATTCTAATTACTTTAGAATATGGAATCAGATTTAAAAAAAATTTTTTTTAAGATTTTATTTATTTGACAGAGAGAGACACAGTGAGAGAGGGAACACAAGCAGGGGGAGTGGGAGAGGGAGAAGCAGGCTTCCCACGGAGCAGGGAGCCCGATGCGGGGCTCCATCCCAGGATCCTGGGATCATGACCTGAGCTGAAGGCAGATGCTTAACGACTGAGCCACCCAGGCACCCCTAGATTTAAAATTTAAATGAATTATAAACATAAAGTTTCAGTTTGTCTTTAGAGACTAGATTTTTTTTTTAAGCTTTTTATTTTGAAATAATCTGAAGCTTGCACAAATGTTTTAGAATGGTGCAAAAAACTTTACTCAGGGGCGCCTGGGTGGTGCAGTTGTTTAACAGTCCGACTCTTGGTTTTTGCTCAGGTAGTGATCTCCGGGTCCTGGGACTGAGACCCACATCGGGCTCTATGCTCAGTGTGGGGTCAGCCTGAGTTTCTCTCTCCTCTCCCTCTGCCCCTCCCCCTGCACACTCTCTAAAATAATAAAACTTTAAAAAAAAAAAGTTCACTCAGATTCCCCAAGTGTTAATGTTTGGTATACTTATTTCCTCATTCATTCATTGCCCCCTACTATACACATACATGTGTGCTGTATGTACACAAACACATACACTATTGTGTACACACATATTTCTTTTGAACCACTTGAAAATCAGTAGTAGATATCAGGCTCCTTAATTCCAAAATATTTCACTATGTATTCCCCAAGAAAAAAGAAATTCATTTATATAACCACAGTAAATACTTAGTAAATTTAACAATGATACGACACTGTTTACTTACCTACAGCCCTTACAAAAATTCTGTCAATTTTCCCAATAATGATCTTTATAGCAATTTTTCTTTTCTGGTCCAGAATCCAATACAGGAAGACATGACTTCATTTTCTTAAGACTAAACTTTTTAAATTTTAGGGGCCTTACAAGTTTTAGTTCCTAGTTTCCAAGCTCTTGGAAGTAATAGGTTTTTTGTTATTACTATTGTTTTCTTTGAAATTTTAAAAGGCTCAACTTTTTCTATTTTTCTCTTCCATGTAAGGCTAATAACTGCTTAGAGAAATGGCTGATTCCAGGCTGGGGAAGGGAAGATAGAAGAACCCAACACATTTTTTGGTTCCAGAATATAAAAAAGAGATAAAACTGAAGGGGTTTGTCAAGCGGACACAAGAGCCAGTTTGAATGGGTGCCCACTGGTCAAATCTGGGATAATATAAATATCAAAATAATATTAACAGTAATGGATTATAATCCATGTTATAAAATAGGAATCCACTAATAGAAAAATAACTGGAAAGTAAAAGGAGGGTTCTTTCTTGTAGTAGTAGAATAATCTATAAATATTGAAGAAGTGGAAGAGTTAGAGAATCACAATTTTGCAACTACCAAAACTGCCTTTATAGGGTGGTTTGGGAAGAATTAGTGGATACTAAATGTGGGGCGGAGGAAGGTCTGATGAGAAGCAAGATAGTTTCAGGGTCTTAAAGTGTCTCTCATAGAATGCCTATTAGATACAAGAAGAAAAATGATCAATGTATGCCTTGACTTGGTTATCAAAATTAACATCATCATCAATGCCTCTGGATGTGATAACCTCAGAAGGACACAACACACTTTAGTATTCCAACTACAGATTCACATCTAATCATGAGAAAATAACAGATAAAGTCCAAATCAGGACTATTTTAATCTGCTATTAAAAACAAAGATGAAAAATAGATGGATAAATAAATAAATAAAAACAAAGATGAGTGCTTATCTTCCTCAAATTGTCAATGTCATAAATAAGATACGAAGGCTTAAGAACTATTCCAGATCAGAAGATTGTGTCTGTGATCCTAGACTAGATCTTGTTCTGAGAAGGAAAAAAAAGCTATAAAGGACATCACTGGGACGCCTGACAAAACAGGAACCTGCACTGTAGATTACAGTACTATACCAATGTTATATTTCCTGAATTCCCTATATTATGATTACATAAGAAAATAAACTTGTTCCAAGGAAATACACGCTTAAGTATTAAAGGGTAAAGCACGATAGATACAACTATTCTCAAATGGTTCAGCAATTTGTGCTTTTATGAGTATAAACATACAGAGAAAGACAAAGAAGACAGAAATATGACAAAACAAATATGGCAAATATTAAAAATTAATGATCTAGAAAAAGATACAGGAATTATTTTTATTATTCTTGTAAACTTTCTGTAAGTTAGAAAATTATTTCAAAAAGCTTTTTAAAAAGTATGACAACTTCCCCATGGGGGGAAATTTTCTTCTTAAAGAGGCAGTCCAGTTATAAGTGCTGAAAGACAAAAAAAGCTAAATTTGACTAACTTAAAAAGCAAAACCTTCAAGGTCAAACTAATGCCACTCCCTCTTAATATGACACTGATTTCAATACATTTATAATTGTAAACAGAAAAAATGCAAACACCAAACATTTGAATAAACCAGATCATAAATATATATAAGGGAAGATCAATATACCTAATAACTTTTTCCAGGATTTGATGAGAGACTTTGCTAAAGATGTAACTTCTTCATCTGTACTCTGCTTCCGAATAGCATTTACTGACATTCCAATTCTTGTGGACTGCAAGGCAATGACAAAAAAAATTTGTACAAGCTGTTTTATTTCAGACATTTTAGTGTTTCATTTTCTTCTTTCCCATTTTCCTGTTTCTACTGTAGAACAGAAAAAAATCTGTTATTTGATTCTTGTAACAGTATACTATAGAATTAAGATACGTGCATATATTGTTATATTTAATATATGTAATATATATATGTAATATATCATGTAGTAATATTATTATCATTTATTATTATTATGCCCAGGATTATACTGGGAGCATCCATATTCATTAATCTTCCTAACAACACTTTAAAGTTGAGATCAGGGGCATCTGGGTGGCTCAGTCGTTAAGCGTCTGCCTTCAGCTCAGGATCCCAGGGTCCTGGGATTGAGCCCCGCATTAGGCTCCCTGCTCAGCAGGAAGCCTGCTTCTCACTCTCCCACTCCCCCTGCTTGTGTTCCCTCTCTCACTGTATCTCTCTCTGTCAAATAAATAAAATCTTAAAAATAAATAAAAGTTGAGATCATTATCCCTACTTGTCCAGCAATATACCATTCCTAATTGGCAAAACTGGGATTTTAATGCAGGTCTGCCCACCTCCAAAGTCCATGCTCTTTCCAGCACATCAATGGTTTTCAAATTGTGCTCAAAGAACACAAAAGCTATGATAGGCCAATTAAGGAAGATAAATAAAAAAATGGTAAATTATTTAGTAAGTTCAAGTTGTTAGTAGACAATCTTTCAAAACATACGGTCAATGGAAGAAAAAAAACAACAAAAGGAATTGTTAGTGGCAAAAAAAAGAGGGGAACCCCTGCTGTAAACTTTAAGGCAGAATAATAAATGGGTACTTATGGTTTTTCCTGCTAAATTATTTAATCTTCTCAACAAAGAGATTCAGGAGAGAAATCTGGTTCGTTTGGCTGGAATGGCCTACCTTATACCTATGGAAGGCTATGCAAGGCAGGTAAGGTTCCATAACAGAAAGATAAAGGGGACTCCACAATTCTAAAATCCAAAAATATTTTGAGATTAATGTTTTGGGAGGGTTTTCCCCCAAAGAAAGAAGTTTATTGCTTTAATAAAATGCTCTCAGAACTTTTTTTTTTTAAAAGATTTTATTTATTTATTTGACAGAGAGAGAGAGAATAGGCAGAGAGGCAGGCAGAGGGAGAGGGAGAAGCAGGCTCCCCGCTGAGCAGGGAGCCCAATGCGGGGCTCGATCCCAGGACCCTGGGATCATGACCTGAGCCAAAGGCAGCCGCTTAACCGGCTGAACCACCCAGGCGCCCCTCTCAGAACTTTTTTTAGAGAAGAAAATACTTTGAGAACTTTAAAACTTTTTAGAACTTTTCTAAAACACTACAATATAGAAAATTTTCCAGAAGCAAGTGCCTGGGCTGGATGGCATAGCCTACAACCGTGTGGACCCAGAGCTGTCTGATTGGATGTAGCTAACTGCTTAGAAGCCAGGCTTGCACTTGCAGCCACCATACCAAGTGTCAGGTCTGACTTCCTTATCCCGATGCTTTCAGCACTCCTTCTTCAGCACCCATTCACAGCTCTTCCTCACTACCACCCCACAACCCACCCACCAACCTAGAAGAAAACCTACTTTTGGAATGAGTGGTGAAAATCATTGAGTTACTAATATAGTTCTGAAGCTGCAATTGACACAGACTGGCAAAGAAAATGGAATTTTAGGAAGTAGTCAGAGACAGGCAAAGATATAAGGAGAGCATAAACAAATCGTGTGCCGTGAGTGATTGCTTTTTAATTATCATAGGATGTTTTCATCACTAAAGAGTCAATAATTACCTGCTTAAAACCCACAAAAACCCCTATGGAGATTAGGCATCTGTAACATGCTTATTTAAGGAAGAGATTGTCTAGTCAAAAGTAAGAAATGAGGTTGCTAAGGCAGACTGACAAACAAAGACCTGGGGAGGTTTTTTCCCCTCTCTTTTAAAGACGGTATTTGGGGAAGAGTAAAACTAGACAGAGGAAAGGATTATAAAGCTATTTTACTTTGATAACCAAGTCTAGATGTACCTCTAAGAATTCTCTAGACTCTAGATTTTTCCTAAAACCAGTACACTATAATTTACAAGATGTAACAGGTGGCCTATAAAAAAAGTGTTGTGTGCTCAAATAACATTAAGAATTGTAGAGTTAGGGGCGCCTGGGTGGCTCAGTAGGTTAAGTGTCTGCCTTCGGCTCAGGTCCTGGGATTGAGCCCCCGCACTGGGCTCCCTGCTCGTCAGAGAGTCTGCTTCTCACTCTCCCTCTGCCCCTCCCCCATGCTCTCTCTCTTTCTCTCAAATAAATAAAATCTTTAAAAATAAATAATTTTTTTAAAAAAGGACCAGAGAGTTAAACAGGCTTCTTGATTGCAGAACTAATGAAGGTTTTTTTTTTTTAATATTTTATTTATTTATTTGACAGAGAGAGACACAGCGAGAGAGGGAACACAAGCAGGGGGAGTGGGAGAGGCAGAAGCAGGCTTCCCGCTGAGCAGGGAACCCAACGCAGGGCTCGATCCCAGGACCCTGGGACCACGACCCGAGCCGAAGGCAGACGCTCAACATCTGAGCCAATGAAGGTTTTTGAGATCAACTATACATTGTGAAATTCTAGACAGAAAATGTATGCCTTTGCCCATGTCTGGCCATCTGGTTTCTATAGAATACCAGCTATGCAATTAGAAAGACACAACCTTGGAAAGATGGGGAGGGCATTAAGCAGACTTAGCTTAATCTGCGCATTGGCGGTAAGGCAGAAAGGAATGAGTAGTGAGATTAAGAGACACTGTCAGCATCACAGGAACTAAGCAGATTTGTATGTTCTAGAAGAAAAATCACTTTTATGATCACTCATGAGTTTTTGCCAAGATAATTTAAGATAGCCATTAAATCTTAAACTAAAAAATATAAAGCTACTAAAAACACTGTTGAAAGAAACTAAAGACCTAAATAAAAAGACATCCCATATTCACGGATCATAAGACTTAAATGTTAAAGACTGCAACACTAATAAAATCGAGCTAGATTCAATGCAATCCCTGTTAAAATCCGAGCTGCCTTTTGTACAGAAATTGATAAGCTTATCCTAAAGTTCATACGGAAATACAAGAATAGCCAAAACAATCCTGAAAAAGAAGAATAAAGTTGAAGGACTCAAAAGTCCCAAATTCAAAACTTACTACAAAACTACAATAAACAAGACAATATGGACCTATATAAGGAGAGACATGCAGATTAATGGAATAGACTTAAGAATCCAGAAATAAACTCCTACATTTTTTTGTCATTTTCAATAAGGATGTCAAGATAATTCATTAGAGAAAATATTAAAAAGTAAACAAGTAGATATCCACATGTAAAAGAATGAAATTGGACCTCTTCTTTATACCACACATGAAAATTAACTCAAAATGAATCACAGAACTAAATAAAAGAGCCCCCCCCCAAAAAAGGAATAAATTTTCGTAACCTTGAATTAGGTAACCGAGATTTGATACCTAAAGCACAAGCAACCAAAGAAAAAGAGAGAAATCAGACTACAACAAAATTTTAAACTTTTGTGTTTAAAGAACACCACTAAGAAAGTAAAAATAACCCACAGAATGGGAGATAATCCTGTATATGATTAAGGGACTTGTATCTAGAATATATAAAGAACTATTACAAATTAGTAATAAAAAACAAACTATCCAGGAGGGATGGGTGGCTGGGTGATGGACATTGGGGAGGGTATGTACTATGGTGAGCGCTGTTAATTGTGTTAAGACTGATGAATCACAGACCTGTACCTCTAAAACAAATAATACATTATATGTTAATAAAAAAAAAAAACTATCCAACTTAAAAACAGGCAAAAGATCTGAAATGACATTTTTCCAAAGAAAACATATGAATGGTTAAGAAGTACATGAAAAGATGTTCAACATAATTAGTAATTAGGGAAATGAAAATCAACACCACAATGAGATATCACTTCACACCCCTAAGATGGCTATAATCAAAGATAATAACAAGTGTTGGCAAGAATGTGGATAAACTGGAACCTTTGTTTACTTGCTGTTGGGAATGTAAAATGGTACAGTCACTTGGGAAAACACTCTGGCAGGTCCTCAAGTACTCAACATAAGGTTACCTATGACTCATCATTTCCATTCTTTCAGATCTCTACCCAAGAGAAACAAAAACACACAAACCTATACATGAATGTGCAAGACAGGAGTCATAACAATCAAAAAAGTAGAAATAATCCCAATGTCCATCAACTGACAAATGAATAAACAAAATGTGGTATTATTCAGCCTTAAAAGGAATGAAGTACTGATACATGCTACAACATGGATGAACCTTGAAGATTATGCTAAGTAAAAGAAGCCGGAGAGGCACCTGGCTAACTCAGTTGGTAGAGCTTGTGACTCTTGATCTTCGAGTCATGAGTTCAAGCCCCACGTTGAGGGGTAGATTGTACTTAAAACTAAAAAAAAAAAAATCTAAAAAAAAGGCAGCCAGAACCAAAAGGTCAGGTATTGTATGACTTCATTTATATGAAATCTCTGGAATAGGTAAATCTAAAGAGACAAAAGGTACATTGATTAGTGCTTGCCTAGGGCAGAAGAGGTGGTGCAACTGGGGAGAAATAAGGAATGACGACTAAAAGGTACCCCAGAGGCTAGCTTCACGCTGGCAGCAGCTGTCAATGCCAGACCAAGAAAGTGAGATCTAGGGAGATCAAATCAGGGCCAAGAATCCAACTTCTTTTCCTTTCACAGTGAAATTTCGAACTTGGAGATTCAGGTTTGTTTTTTTTTTTTTTTAAGATTTTATTTTTATTTGAGAGAGAGAGAATGAGAGACAGAGAGCATGAGAGGGAGGAGGGTCAGAGGGAGAAGCAGACTCCCCGCTGAGCTGGGAGCCCGATGTGGGACTCGAGCCTGGGACTCCAGGATCATGACCTGAGCCGAAGGCAGTGGCTTAACCAACTGAGCCACCCAGGCGCCCCAGGTTTTATTCTTCTTGAGGAAGGCAACATTATTCTATAATGGTAACTTAGTAGAGTATTGATTTATGTTACCATCTGAAAAAAAACCCAGAAGTTAATAATGATTTACTCCGTAACAGGACAATACAAAAAACTTAATAGTATTAAAAATGTTTTGGTATTTTATTACAATTGTCTATTCAAATCATGATATATTAGCACATACCTGTAATAATTCCAGGGTCATGGGAATATTCTTAAGCTCCTTCAGTAAATCCAATGCTCCAGCCTATAAAATAAAATAATTGCATACTGAACTTCCCAAATGATAAAGCAAGGACTAATTAGAGATTTAAATTTATGTTTTCCTATCCACAACTCACTATGGCTCACTTATTTGTGTGGGAATAGTATATATATATATAAAAGGGGGAAAGAGAAAGAGAAAGTGTTTTCCAAATTATGGCTGCAACTCATTAAAGAAATATAAAATCCATTTACTGGGTTATGACCAGCACTTATTAAGTCCTGCTTTGTTAAAGTTCATTTTAAATATAGTATTTGTTTATCTGTCCCAATTAGAAATGTGAAATGTGTTTCTTACTGTGGTGGCATAACACACCCCAGATTTCCATAGAGAACATCTAACTGATTAAGGAGACAACCCTGAGAAAGTGGGAATGGGGGTCAGAAGATGCTGCAGCACCTCTAGCATTCACTCACACACAGAAGAGTGTGAAAGGGCATATCTTTACTAGAATTCTTTTGAGGTCTCTCTGTATCTTCCTGGTCTGTCACAAAAATGCTGCAGTCTACCTGATTCTTAAAAGCAAATTCTGAGGAAAACTCAGAATTAAGATGTTAAGCTCATAGGCCTGTGCACTGCCATCTAGAATCAAAAGCTCGCAGGTTGATAATGAAGAGGGAACGAAATAAGGTTCCTGGAAGAATTACATAAACCACCTAAGGTTAAAAAAGGAATGAAATAAGATGAGAAGCAACAGCGCCACCTACACCTTATGGCCATATATTCCAATTTGATACTCATTTAATGTATCATATTTCATATGATTCATTCACTTAGTCATATTTACTATAATATTCACTTACTGTACTATGTTTAGACACCACTAATAAAGAAAAAATATTAAACTATGGCATAGTATTTCCTTATCACTTGTTTTACTTTTGTAACTTTTAGACTTGAAATTTTTATCATGTATCACCTTTTACATATATAAAAGAAAAATATAAGCAAAATAAATTGGCTAAGGTGTTTCTAAAACTATGTCACATTCAGAGTCCCCAATGCTTATGAATAACTTATTGACTCAGATTCAATAAAATCTTTTTTTTATCCCACAAAAAGTTGTGTCAAAAACACTAGTAATGCAGCATTTCATAAAAGAATCCATCAAAGAGCTAAAGCCTTTAGCTCTTAGCTGGCTTTGTAGTGTGTAGAGCTAGATGTTTTTCACCCCCACTGCTCTTCAACCATTTGGTTCCTTGAGGTTCAAAGAGCACTCTACTAATGTTTTTCAGAGTTTCTTCCAAGCCACTGACACCCACTCTGCAAATGTTGATACTGGGTTTAATATTCTGCCTGTGAAACTACATCCCAACAGCAATCTGGTTGACAATATATGTGTAACTCATTCTGCTTTCTCAAATGTTAAAATACGAAAACTAGGCACCCTATGAATCAATGAAACACAGCATATCCCAGGAAAATAGAAAACCCTAGAGCATGTCCCTCATTATGCACCCCAAAGGAAAAAACAAGCATGGAACCTTATGGTAACACATTTCTTAAATATAAAATCAAGTAAAGGCTTCCAGTCACGTAATTTTTCCATTTAAAGTTGAGACATCAGACTTGGCTGTGGAGAATAAGAAAGTATTAACTTTTCTTCTGGTAACAAACATATATATCATTTTAATTTCACCCAATACCTCATCAATAAAAACTTAAGTTCAATAGCAACTATGAAACAGGTTATTATGAAGGATTTTAATGATTTACTGCTTAAAGATCCCTTCTGATTTTAAGATTCTATAAATTCTTTTCATTTAATAGAGGTAACCAAAAACAGTGCACATTATAGTTGTTAGATAAGAAAACTAACACTTTAAATTTACTAGTAATCAGGAATTTCTACAGGAATGACATCTCTGTGAGCAAATGGGGTCTTCAATCCCCCGTGTGCAAATCTCAAAACCAAAACCCTTTGAAAATCAAGATTTCATGGGGCGCCTGGGTGGCTCAGTCGGTTAGACATCTGCCTTCAGCTCAGGTCATGATCTTAGGGTCTTGGGATCAAGCCCTGCTTCAGGCTCCTGCTCAGCGGGGAGGCTGCTTCTCCCTCTCTCACTCTCCCTGCTTGTGCGTGCTCATTCTCTCTGTCAAATAAATAAAATCCTAAAAAAAAAAAAAAAAATCAAGATTTCTTCAAGATTTTCAATAAACTCATTTGCCAGCAACACCTAATCTCAACATATGTAAAGCCATTTATGTTCTATATATCCCACTTCATGTGAGAGTACTACATTTCACTATAGAAATGTTAATGTCTGATTAATGGGAACTGCCCAGATCTGCTGAGGACATATGATGTGTGTATCATATTATCTTAATAAAATCTGAAAATTGAGGAATTCTCAAATATATCAGACTCTAAAAGGTTTTCATTAAGAGATTGTGGACTTGTATCTTACAACTACCATAGACATTTTTCTTCTACCCATGTCTCCATGGACTTTCTGATCCATTTCTGACCTAGGATCAATCAGAAAGGAAGACAAGGAATCACACTTCTAGGAGTCCTTAGACTTACACAAGGCTGTCACATATAAAGTTGATTCTTCTAACACATCAGCAATGTGGCATAAGCTGTTTTCCAAGTAGAAGCAATAGATTTGCATTAATTTCACCACACTCTCCTTTTTTACTCAGATCTCTTTGGTGAGACTGGAGTCAGAGATACAAGCTATGGAAGAAGAAAAAGCTAAATAACATTCATGGGATGAAACTATGACCTTTCTCATAATTATACTATGCTCTAGCCAAATAAGATGAATATTTCAATTAAAGTTCTTTAAGAAATAAACAACTATGATGATCTGAATGAGCAAAAAGTGAAAACAGATGACCATATATTAATTCAGTGACAAAAGCTTCTTTGAATATTACTATGTGCCAAGAACTGTGTTAAATACTTTATATATGTATTATTTCATCTTCACAATAAACCCTATAGAAGCAGGTAATCTTTTTATCCCCATTTTACATAAAAGGAATTGAAAACCCAGATTAATTTAGGACCTTGTGCTGTCATATGATTATTACTAACTAAAACAGGTGAGACCTACCCAGTTCTGTCAAAGTACACTTACACTTCTCAACAAATACTTGTTAACTGTGTACGAAACTCTGAGGAATCCAGCAATGAGCAAGACAGAAATCTTTTCTGACTACAGGGAATTTAAAAATAAACATAAATCTTTGAACATTTACTTCAAACCCTCAATTATACAAAGAAACAAACTCAGAAAAGGAAAGTGACTTGGCCAACTGATAGGTAATATAAAAGCACAAGAACTATAATCTCCCGACCCTCACACCCCTGTTCTCTCCATTTCATAGGTCCACTGGTAGCAGTTCTAATCAGTGAACTGGGGTGAATAGCACTGCCAAACAAGAAACTATATTCCATCCTTCCCCAATTATCACCTGCCTCCAAAGGTCAAGTCTATTAGATTGCAGCATCTCCTACAGATAATGATGCAAGAGAAAGAAAGATTCTACCTTATCTTCCAGAGTCAAATTTAGTTCACATTACTGGCTGAATAATAAACAACAGCTATCACATGACTTTATTGCATGGCTGGTACTGTCTTCAGAAACCAGTACTTTTACAAAATATGGTATTCAAATTTGTATTGAGCACCCAGCATATACAAGCTTGTATAGGATACAAACATCTTTCTCCTCAAGGAGATGTAAGGAGGAGGAAGGAACACAGAATATACAATGAAGAACATGGGCTATATATATAACAGATCTAAATTCAAATCCATGCACTGCCATTTCCTAATTATAAGATCCTGGGAATGTTATTTGTCCTTTTCAAACTTCAGCTTTTTTATATGTAGGAGAGCACAATACACTGACCTAAAACAGTTAAAATGGTCAAATGGAGTAATATAACACTATGAAGTGTTGAAATAGAGTGCCTGACACATAGGAGATGGTTGGTAAGCGGTACAAAGAAATAAAAAAATTTATCTACTTTCATCATAACAATATTCTCAAAGAGCCATAAGCCAGCATTTTAAGTAAATATTATTTAAGCTCAAACAACTCAAACACCTCTTAGAATTATGCGATCCCGAGGTTTAAAAAATTAAGGTGCTATTTAAAAAAAAAGGAAACACTGGGGCACCTGTGTGGCTCAGTCGGTTAAGCGACTGCCTTTGGCTCAGGTCATGATCCCAAGGTCCCAGGATCGAATCCTAGGTCAGGCTCCCCACTCAAGCGGGGGAGTTGGCTTCTCCCTCTGACCCTCCCTCTTTTCGTGCTGTCTCTCTCTCTCTCAAATAAATGAAATCTTTAAAAAAAAAAAGGAGGGGTACCTGGGCGGTATTTTTTTTTTTTTGTATGGATGTGTTTTTAAAATAAAAGTTCCAGGGACGCCTGGGTGGCTCAGTTGGTTAAGCGTCTGCCTTTGGCTCAGAGTCCTGGGATCAAGCCCCATGTTGGGCTCTCTACTCAGTGGGGAGCCAGCTTCTCCCTCTCCCTCCTGCTCCCTCTGTTTGTGCCCACGCTCTCTAATAAATGAATAAAATCTTTAAAAAAAAAAAAAAAGAAACACTGTAAATATTTACATTATGGCTCAGCAACATCACTATATACTAGGAATTATAATTTTACTATGTCACCTCAAATTTGTAGTTATTCTCAACCAAATGCACAAGCAATGAAAGGAAAAATACATAAATTTGACTTCATAAAAAATGAAAGGTTTTGAACTTCAAAAGACACAATCAAGAGAGTGAAAAGATAACCCAGAGAATGGGAGACAATATATACAAATCCTGTCTCTGATAAGAGTCTAGTATTCAGAATGTAAAGAATTCTTACAATTCAATAATACAAATACTCAGTTAAAAAATGGGCAAAGGATCTGAACATTTCTCCAAAGATACAGAAATAGCCAGCAAACAATGAAAAATGTTCACCATCATCAGTCATCAGAGAAATGCAAATCAAAATCACAATGCGATACCTCTTCACATCCACTGTGATGGCTATGATCAAAAAAGACAAACAAATGTTGATGAAGACGTGGTAAAACTGGAACCCTCATCCATTGCTGGTAAGAATGTAAAATGGTGCAGTAACTTTGGAAAAGTTTGGCAATTCCTCAAAAAGTTAAACACAGCTATCATATGACCTAGCAATTCTACTCCTAGGTATATACCCAAGAGAAAAAAAAAAAATATGTCCACACAAACACCTGCACAAGAATATTCTTAGCAGCATTAATAACCAAAAAGTGGAAACAGCCAAAAATGTCCAACAAATGATGAAAAAACAAAATGTAGTATATCCACCAGTACAGTAGTGCTATTACACTTTACACATTAAGGAATGAAGTACTGATACCTGCTATAACACAGGTGAATCCTGAAAACACTAAGTGAAAGAGGCCCATCACAAAAGAACACATATTGTATGATTCCCTTTATACAAACATATGTTGTGTAATTCCATTTATATGAAATGTCCAGAAGAGCAAATCCATAGAGACAGAAAACATATGGGGCGGGGGAGAGATATATGATGACTACTTAATGGGCACAGGCTTCTTCTTCGGAGTGATGAAAGTGCTCTTAAATTAGATAGTGTGGTGACAGCTGTACAAATCTGTGAATATACTAAAAACCACTGAACTGTACACTTTAAAAGGGGGAATTGTATTGTGTATTTCAATAAGGCTGCTATAAAAAATTGTGTAGTCATTCTAAATTTCAATTTATATTAGTCTAACCCTGTTATGAAAACCAAAGTTTTTTTCTTCAACCCAGGTATAAAACTTAGAAATCTACACATTCCAAGTATCGCAGTTCCTAGGATATTCTAACATCTAATTTCAATTTCTCTCGCAACAATTTAATTCTACTCAGCCCTGAGCCTTCAATAAAGAAATACTAAACAAAGCTCAACACCACTGACAAAATCTATGAATTTGAAAATTCCAAGTTACCTCACTCCTTCTTCTAGAGTCATGTAATAAATCCTTTACAAAAAGAATACACAGGGCACCTGGGTGGCTTAGATGGTTAAGCGTCTGCCTTCGGCTCGGGTCATGATCCCGGGGTCCTGGGATTGAGTCCCGTGTAGGGCTCCCGGCTCAGAAGGCTGAGCCTGCTTCTCCCTCTGCCTCTCTCTCTCTCTCTGTCTCTCATGAATAAAAAATAAAATCTTAAAAAAAAAAAAAAAGAATACACAAGGTTTTTCAGCCCTTACCATATCTTAGGGACTGCCAAGATTTTTAATTCATCTAATCTTTATTATATTATCTCCAATTTACTACCAAAAAAAACCACCTAAAATGGTTTTAGAGATGTTAAGGATTTTGCCTGAGATCACAATGCTATAGTTCAGAAGAGCCAAGATTTAAACTCAGATTAGGAGTCAGACTTGCTTACTGACATCAAGTCAAAATGACATTTAAAAAAAAAAAGCTAAAATGACATAAAAAACAGCTAATACCTGAAAATTTGGAACTTATGTGGTTCACCAAGGTCTCAAAGTATACACTTGTAAAACTGCTAATATTGTTTAAGATCAAGGACACACATGGTGCAACATTTTGGATAGTACTAGGGTCAGGATATTGACTGGATATTAGGGAAACCTGCCTCCCCCAGAACAGCAAATACCCTTACTTCTTGGTCTTATATTCATCTAACTGTACCCACACAAGGTTCAAAAAAGGGGTCTTTTAGAGAGATGTTGCACCTTAAGAGAGTAGTACAGACTTTGAGCAAAACATTTAGATTCATGTCTTCATCTGCCCACTTTCTAGCTATTTGGCTTAGGACAATTCACTTAACTTTCCAAACAGTTTCCTTATTTTAGAATAGGGATATTACTTATCATGCAAAACTGTCCCAGGGATAAGTACTTAGCCGAATGCCTGGCTCAGAGTAATAGTTCAATAAATGGTAGCTGTTATTATTATTACTTAAATGTGACACCTACGCTTTATTAAACTAAATATCCAATAACGACACTTAAACTTGCCAATTTAAGAGGAAAACTACTATTTTTCAAGTAAAGTTTCCTTTTTCATAGTATAAAAATAATATTTAAAAAAGCTCACAGAGAAAATCTGGAAACCACACATACACAGAGAGAGAGAGAGAGAGAGGGAGGGAGGGAGAAACAAATCTTCCATAATCCTACAACCCCCAGAACAACTTCTGTGAAATTACTGACCTCTTAAAAAGCTATCTGTGGGTTGATGTGCTTTGGAGGGCAAAGAGGGAGAGTCATTCAGACCACTTCCCTTTCTCTTTATTTCATTTGCCAATTTGCATTTCTGTAAGATATACAGGAAAAGGGAAAAGGAAAAAACATAAAAGAGCCAGTCAATTTTATCTTTCTTTTTGAGGGGAAAGTTTCCATATTGGTCAAATTTTGAACTATCAGAAAAATGAGATTTGAGGAGTATCTATGGACTTTATCCTCATTCTCTCCCAGACTCATCATTATTCCTTTATACCTTGAGAACTGCAGGTAAATACAAACTGGTCTTCTCCATCTTTATCCACCAAGGAATTACTCATTTTTAGGAAACACCTATTACAAGGAAAGGAAACAAGCCACTAATGTATTACATGATTAATGGATATACATTATAGCCTGAGTTAGAGAAAAAATTACCCAACAAAAGGCCTTTTTCCCTCAGAGCATCTACTGTGCGAATCTAGGGATGTCTCCTGGTAAAGAAAAAAACTTTCCAGTTTAAACAAAATAACAGAAATGTTCAGCCTATCAAATAATCAGATCTCATCACTTGCACTGGGCTGTATCAATGAGAAAAATAAATGGCAAAGGTAATGTCTGGAACAGAAAACAAACAGGAAATACTTTAAAAGGCCAAAATTGCAAATACAGGTTAACAGGGTATGAAATTACATGCTAGGCAACGCACCTGTTAAAGGAAAGAGGAACAGACTATGTACGAAGTCTTAAGAATTCACTGTTTTAACACTATTTTCTGCTCTAGAATGCTGTCCAGTAGAAAACGTGGGTCCTGGCTTAATCCAAATTGCACAGTACTTAAGTGGGTGAACTACTTAATCTCTTTCAGCTTCTTATTCTGCAAAATGGGTACACCACAATAGCTGTGTTGTGAGTCTCAAAGGAATTTTGAACAGATGCTTAACTCTAAAGTGCTGTACAAATCAGAACATCCCTTTTCTCCTTTGCATTAGTTTGACACAGAATTTATTTCATAGATAGGAATAAGTTATTTCAGGTACACTGATACTGAAGATGTACTGACCAGGGTGGAACAAATTCAGGTGAAGACAATCATGGAGGTGAAGCTGAAAACAGCTGACTCTGAATTAGAGGACTGAAAGCACACACTGGTGGACAAAAATGCAGAAATTGGAAGACTTCATACAAACCACAAAGAAAACATGTTCGTATAAACACTTTATCAGTAACAAGATAATGCCACTGGTATTAACTGTAAACCACTTAGAGTACCCAGCAATGACATCTGGCCAAATGCATCTACCAGCACACCTTGGTGTGTGCGTTTTAATCACAGCTCTTTACATACTACCACCTGACAATATCCACTTTTTAAAAAACGTTTAGCGACTTGCCAAGTACAGTAGCATACTCTACCTTTTTAATTGCTAAACAAACCTGTAGCGTAGACGAGATCAAGTGAATGTTTAGCATTCTTCAAAAAAAATCCAAAAATTTTAACTTACCAGTTTGATGTCTAAAACATATCCCAAACCTCTATGTGATGTTATTTCTAGTTGTTAGCCAGCGATCATGGAAAAGAGAACGAATTCTTCCCAACTGTGAAGGGCTTTCTACACTCTTCAATTCTTAAGCTAAACTGAAGAGGTAATTAGCGAGTAAATCTATTCCTCAAGTTTAAAATAAGAGAATGCCCCGATCAGGTTTACTACGTTGTACTAACAACGAGAGACTTGGGAGTACCAAGAACGGGTACTGACGCCGGCGGCCGGCGGCCGCGGGGCCGCGCTACCTCCTCCCGGACGCCTTCCCCAGGACGCGGGCTCGGTACACGCTGGCTTCCAGCGCGGGGAGGGCGGGCGTGGGCCGGCCGGGAGCCCGCGAGGGCCCGGCCCGAAGCCAGCCGCGTACGGCCCCGGCCGGTCGCCCAGCCTCCCTCCCGGCCCGCGTCGCCCGCCGCGCTCACCGCGTTCTTCTTCTGCACCATCTTGTCCATCTTCTTGGCAATGCGGACCACCTCGTCCTCCATGGCTCCCGCAGGTCTTCCCCGCGCCCAGCCCGTTTGGGTCGGGAAGTGGGCGAAGCTGGAGCTGAGGGGACGGCAGGACGAGAGCCAGGCGCTGGACTACCCCACCACAGCAGGCCCGGGCCTAGGCCTTTCCTCACAACCAAGCCCGCAGCGGCGGCGGCGGCTGCGACAGCGACTCCGCCCCCACAGGCAGCGCCAATCGAGCTCCGCGCGCACCGTGCAGGCACTGCCAATCGACAGCGGATCGCTGGGAAACCGCGCACCAAGGCGCCCGCCAGACGGGCGTCGACCGAGGCGCTGTCAATGAGTTGACACACAAACTGGGCGGCAGGGCTTCCCGCCAGGCCGTTGTAAGTCTGTAGGAGGCGGGGCCGAGTTTTGCCGCGCGTGCGCCTCCGGCCCAGTCTCTGCCCAGGTTGAGTTTTACGTCCGCAGAGATCTACGGAGCTCTGAACTGAGGTGGGTTTGGAAAGCGAAACATTGGCGGTTTTTTAAAGGCAGTCAAAACCCGAGGCTTTTTTCCATGGGAGGCGGCTACCGTGAAAACCAGCACCACCCCACTCCCCCTAAATAGTGCATTATAATATGGATTTGATCGCTTTAAGCGTCCCCTTTTTAAAAGTCAAACCGTTTGTAAGCTCCTCGAGAACCAAGACTCAATCTGTTTTGTTTCCTGACTCAGAATGTCGAACACAGTATTTGAATACAGTTGAATAATAGTTGAGAGAAACGTTCTCAACAAAGAAATAAGCACCTCAACTGCTTCTGAAGACCAGTGAGGAAGTTGACATCTTTAGTTTAAGGGTTATGACTAAGCCAAAGTAGAAAATTGAAATAGCTGTATTATTAATACTGGAGAGTATAGTCTCCTTCAATAGGTCTTTGCCCAATTATACGTTTTACTACCAACTCATGCTGTTTGCAGACATATCCCATGCTATTTGCGGACATATCCCCACACCATATTTAGCTATCATTAATCAAAATTCACCACCTAATAATGTTTTTTCTGTACTAAGATGACAAATTTTTCCTATTTCTAGTCAGTTATTTGAGAGGAAGAGGAATTTTGTCCTTTTCCCCTTCTCTTTATTTCATGTATTTTGTTTCATTTTTAAATTATCTTTTTATTATTGATTCCCAACTTACAGAGAGACTGTATGATTGGGAAGTAACTGGTTCTAAGGTAGTTGTTGAGATCTGTTCTGTCAATTTTTATAAATATACTGGTGTACTGGAAAAGAATTTGTATTCTAGGGGCGCCTGCGTGTATCAGTCGGCTGAGCTTCTGACTCTTGGTTTCCGCCAAGGTCATGATCTCAGGGGTCCCGAGTTGGAGCCCCTCATGACTCTGGGTTGGGTGGGAAGTCGCTTGGGATTCTCTCTCTCCCTCTCCCTCTGTCAGTCCCCGCCCCCCACCCCGCACGCTTGCTCTCTCTCAAATAAATAAATCTTTAAAAAAAGAAAAAGAAAGAAAAAATAATTTGTACTCTGTAATAGCAGATAGGAGGTTCCATATAGGCTCATTAGCCACAAATTAATTTTGTTATTCAAATACTTATATCTCACTTTGTTGCGTTCTATTAATGAGTGTGTAAAAATCTTCCTTTATGATTATGGATGTGTACATTTACTCTAATAATTGTGATTTTTGTTTTTTTCCCCCAAAGAATCAGTTTATTTTGCTTGTTTAAAGAGAAACTGCGCAAGCAGGGGAGAGGCAGAGAGAGAGAATCTTAAGCAGGCTCCATACTCAGCTTGGAACCCAATGTGGGGTTCTATCACAGGACCCTGAGATCATAACCTGACCCAATATCAAGAGTCAGTCACTTAATCCGCTGAGCCACCCAGGCGCCCCTGTTTGTTTGTTTTACTGTGTTAAATACGCATGTTATCCAATGACAAAACTAAAACAATTTAGTAACGAGTTTGATATCCTTTATCCTAGTGAAAACAATTCTGGATTGGGGGAGTACAATAACTCACAAGCAGTGGAGCACCAATCACGAGGGATTTGGGGCAAGAGCGAGATTTATAGAGCAATGAAGAGACAAAGAAGGAACAAGGCACGATTGGCTAGGAGGCAGGGAATTTCCTTATAAACATAGCAGGTCCTGTTTTCTAGGGTAAAGTAGGCTACCTAAAGCTGAGTTGGAGAATTGTGATTGGTGTGTGTTAGGTTTCCCTGACAGGTATTTCCCTTTAGTGCAGGCTTAAGTTTGTGACTTAGAGCCACAGGGGCAGCCCCCAGAGTTAGGCCCCATGTTGGGTGTAGAGATTACTTAAAAATAAAAAAATTTTAAAAATCTTTTAAAAAATGGAATGTCTTTCCTAAATTAGACCTACTTTAAGTTCTTTTCACAATATTTTGTAGATTTTAGTGTACAAATCTTTTACCTTGGTTAAATTTATTCCTAGATATTTTATTTTTTTGAATACTATTGAAAATGGAATTGTTTTCTGAATTTCCTTTTCAAATTGTTCATTGCTAGTCTTTATAAATAGAACATATTTTTGTATGTTGATTTTGTATCCTGCAAATTGGCTGAGTTTATTAGCTCTAATTTTTTTTTAATTCTTTAGGATTTTCTACATAATAAAATTATTTCATCTGGGAAAGACTTTTACTTCTTCCTTTCCAATTTTCATGCTTTTTTAAATTTCTTTTTCTTTCTTTTTTTTTTTTTAGTAAGCTCCACCCCCAACATGGGGCTTGAACTCATGACCCTGAAATCAAGAGTTGCATGCTCTACTAACTGAGCCAGCCAGGTACCCCTACTTCTTTTTCTCACTTAGTTCCTCTGATAAAACTTCCAATACAATGTTGAATAGAATAGTGAAAGCAGAAATCATTCTCTTGTTCCTGATATTAGAAGGAAAGCTTTCGGTCTTTCAACATTGAGTATGATGTTAGCTGTGGGGTTTTCATAGGTGCTTTTTATCATGTTGAGGAAGTTTCCTTAGTCCTAGTTTGTTGAGCATTTCTATCTTGAATAGTTATTAAATTTTGTCAAAGGTTTTTTTGTGTCAATTGACATGATCACATCAAAAGTGTTCCCTCATTGTATTAACATAGTGGATTACATTGTGTGATTTACTTATGGTGAACCATTCTTGAATTCCTGACATAAGTCTCATTTGGTCATGGAGTGTAATCCTTTGACCCTTCCCGGAAGCCCCTCAATAAAATGGGTTGATAAAGTTAATTGTAATCCCCAGAGTAACCACTAAGAAAATAACTTAAAATACGCAAAGAAGGAAGTGAGAATGGAGTAATTTAACTACAGTGAATTTTCATTTCAGTTACTGTTCTTTCAGCTCCAAATATCTATTTTGGTAACTTTTTATAATTGTTATCTCTTTATTGTTGATATTCTCTATTGATATTGAGATATTCTCCTGATTTCTTATTTAAAAATTTTTTGTTTAAATTATTGTTAAATTATTATTAAATTCAATTATTCTTAAATTGAATAATCCTTTTAAGATAATTATTAGTTAAGAACATACTTTTGCCATTTTGCTGCTTTTTTCCTATATCTTATACCTTTTTTGTTCCTCAGTTTCTCCATTCCAGCCTTCTTCTGTGATTGATTTCTTCCTGTATACCATTTTTACTCCATTCTCACTTCCTTTTCTGCTTCAGGGAAGGGGTCAAAGGGCTAAGAGGACAATGAGATCCGATACCTCAGCCTGGTCAGGATCTGCCCAAGTTCATAATCTCTGAAAGTACAATTAACATTTTAGAATTATAGCATTCTCGTTTAAATAACCCCAATTCAGCTTCAGTAGTATACAAATGCTTTGCTACTATACAACTCTGTCCTTCCCCCTTTATGGAGTTGTTGTCACAAATTAAATCTTTACAAAATGCATGCCCAGTAACATAGACTTATAATTAATATTTTATGCATGTCTTTTATATGAGGTAGAAAAGAAAAAGAAGTCACAAGCCAAAAATTCAATAATATGGGCATTTATATTAACCCAAGTAAGTATCTTTATTTCTTTATTCCTTTATTTCTTCATATGGCTTCAAGTTACCGTCTAATGTCATTTCAGCCTGAAGGACTTCCTTTAGCACTTCTTTAATGGCAAGTATAGTGTCATTGAACTCCCTTATCTTTTGTTTATGTGAATGTTTTAATTTCTCCATTTTTGAAGAATGGTTTTGCTAGATAGAATTGTTCATTGAATTTTTTTTCCTTTCAACACTTTAAATATAACATCCTACTGCTTTCTAGCCTCCATAATTTATGCTGAGAAATTGGCTGTTAATCTTATTGAGGAAACTTGGACATGATGAGTTGCTTCATTCTTGATGCATTCAAAATTCTGTCTTTTGACAGTTTGATTTCAGTTGGCTGAGTGTGTATATCTTTTGAGTTTATTCTACTTGGAGTTCAATAAGCTTCTTGGATGTGCAGATTCATAACTTCCATTAAATTTGGTGGGTGTCAGGGGTGGAGGAAGTTGCCATTCATTCCTTCATGGATTCTTTCTGACTCTCTTTTCTCCTTCTAGGACTCCCATCATGTGTATGTTGGTACACTTATGGTTTTCCACAAATTACTTAGGCTCTGTTTCTTTTTCTTCATTCTTTTTTCTGCTCCTCAGACTGGCTAATTTCAATTGTCCTAAATTCAAGTCTACCAATTCTTCTGACCATTCCAATTTGCTGTAGAGTCCCTCTAGTGAATTTTCATTTCAATTATTGTTCTTTCAGCTCCAGATATCCATTTGGTAACTTTTCATAATTTTTATCTCTTTATTGTTGACACTTTCTATTCATATTGAGATATTGTTCTCCTTGTTTCTTTTTTTAAATTTTTTATTTAAATTTAATTTAGTTAACATATAGTGTATTATTAGTTTCAAAGGTAGAGTTTAGTGATTCATCAGTTGCATATAACACCCAGTGCTCATTGCATCAAGTGCCATCCTTAATGTGTATCACCCAATTACCCATCCCCCCACCTACCTCCCCTCGAGCAACCCTGTTTCTTTTCTATAGTTAAGAGTCTCTTATGGTCTGTCTCCCTCTCTGTTTTCATCTTAGTTCATTTTTCCTTCCCTTCCCCTATGTTCATCTGTTTTATTTCTCAAATTCCACGTATGAGTGTAATCGTATATTTCTCTTTCTCTGACTGACTTATTTCACTTAGCATAATACCCTCTAGTTCCATCCACATCTTTGAAAATGGCAAGATT